ACAAGGTTTAGAGTATGTGAACCATAAAAGTCAGGATTACCTAAGCTCTACTGTATAAGCTTTGAAGTTTTTCCAACATTGCTAAACAACATAGTTTACAAGTGTAATTTTGCACCCATCTGAAACCACACCCAAAAGTAATGTCAAAGTCCACAGGCATGCCTGAGAGTACACTCCCCCATCATCACAGCAAAGTGGGAAATTAAACAGCTGCAAATGCGCAAGATCAATGTTTTCTGGGTGTTTTGAGGTACAGGGCAAAATATTCACAGAAACAGTCTCACCAAAGAAGTTTAAATAAATATTACTTTTCAGAAATATTACTTTTCCCCCTCTAATAAAACCTGCCATTTGCAGAAAACTGCACAATCGCGCTTGCAAAAATGTCTTAATCATCAGCCAGGCTCCAGGTTTAGCAACATTATTTTTAAAGGCTTAAAAATCCACATGCTGCAACTTTAAGCGACCTGCCATCCTACACCATTTGTTAAATCTTCTTTCAGGTTTTTTCCCATCTCTTGTTTTAGAGAAGCTTTTAAGCGCTCGTCTCTTTGAAACAAATCTGTTCAGTTAAAGATATAGGACACATATTCTTAGCCCGCTGTCACTGTCTCTGCAGACTTTGATCAGGCTGAGGTGTGGATGTATCTGCAGCCTGAGACAGTGTTGCCTGAGCACAGACTACTGGCTACAATAAGCAGACTCCCTAGATATAAATAAATGTTCTCTTAGTGCCGTAGGTGTAGCAGCCCACACAGCCCTTCTCTGCTCTCTGTGCCCGCCTGCTATTTACCATTTATTCACATCACAGCACTGTTATGCCCTCCCATCTCTCACACAGAGATGTGGTACCTGTCTACGCAAGGCTAATCTCTGTTGGAGTGTAGCTGTGGCTATTAGCATCTTTTTATATATATGTGTGTGTAAATGCAGCTGTTTACCCACCATATAAACACAGCTATCTGTTGCAAACAACAACAACATAATCAAAAGAAGTTTTCCGCGTCAACTCTTGGAAACTAAATGAGCGCTCTGATTTGACCTCATTTATAAAGAACGGAGATCTATAATTATCTGAAGGAGGGTTGTGGAGGAGGAAGCAAGCTGGGAGGAAGGGACAGATTTCTCAGAAGGGAGGAATGACAAGCAGAAAACTACAAAGACCTCATTTCATTTTGAGTGTCCAGATGTGACTCTGATGCAGAGAAGGAAGTTTGGTGCAAAGCCTAAATACATATAGGTTGGATAAGTAAGATGGGCAGATGATGTGATCTGTTAAAGTTAGCAGAGCATCTTCCCTTCTGACCTTTTGAGGGCAGATCATTAAAAACACTGCAGTTTAAAATTAAAGTGTTGCAATCAAACTGTGACCACAGTGATGAAAGAAATAGCAATTCCAGATAATTAATATAACATAAATTATTTAAACAGTGATTAAAAAAGACAAAAATGAAAGGGATATACACTCACCAGCCACTTTATTAGGTATGCCTGTTCAGCTGCTTATAAATAAATACCCAATCAGCCAATCACATGGTAGGAACTCATTACATTTAGGGATGTAGAAATATAATGAATAAGGAACAAATTAGTAAATTAGGAAGTAAACTTAGTCTTTGTCATCTTATAAAAACAAAGAGTCTATCTTGGACAGTCACTCTAGCACCTCTGCGAGGCTGTTCCTGAGCAGAAATCGCGCTTTAATATCCTCCCACGCTCGAGGTGACGGCGCTAACGCACTAATTTAGCAGGTTCGTGGTAGCATATGTCCGCTATCCAGTTAGTGTGTTTGCCATCAAACTGACTGGATAGTCTGAACATAAAAAAGTGAGTGATGATTCAGAGCACAGAAAATAAATGTTGTAAAAGGATCAGAAACTTAATTTAACTTATAATTTCCACGAGGCAAAAAAAAAACCCCACAAAAAGGAAAAAGGCTGCTAGAAAAAAGGCCGTATTTAAAAATACTGCAGAATCCCCCAGAGACTGCAAGCTGTGCATAAAAGACAAGGCTCAGAAATACATGAAGACTAATACTCACTGTTCTAGTCACACAGAAATGCTATCGTGATACACAACGTGGTTCAGAAAAAGCCGTGACACTTGTTCATTGATGATCTGGGTTTGCCGTGATTAACAAGGCTGGCCCTGTCAGGGGCCTCGGGGGTCTTATAAAGGCCATCTGCAATGTATGCAGTTCTTAACTGATTATTTCTTTCATGCAAAGAAAACTTTTTCTTTGGTGCCTTTCAGAGGACTTTGGTTTCCTGCATGATACTGAACCATCGCCCTGCTACAGAAGACCACAGAGACACCAAAGACTCGGGTACTATGTTAAAGAGACTTGAAAGACCACCATCATTCCTTTTTAACCTGTGGAGAATCTGTGAAGCAATCACACTCAGAAAATCTAAAGGTCAGACAGTATACCCCGAGGCAGCTGCTTGCTTGGAAGGCAACTGTCATCCTCAGCTGGATGGTGGTTGAAGTGATATCAAAGAAGCTCATTTAGCGAGAAAAGCTTTCTCCAAACTGAAGAACATTCTGTCATAAAAAATATAACAGACATCTGTTCATTACGATCACCTGGATCTCTCCAAATAATCAAATGCCATCTGCATTTTGTTTTGTCCCGCAGCTATTTTCATACTATAACATATTTATTGAGTATCGATCTTCTCCGGCAGACTGTTCTGGAGGAACAAACACATTTTGCAAGTGCTTAATCATTTGGAACAAGGTTTACACTAATAGAAGGAGGCAACTTGTTCCACTCTCGACTGTACCCACTTTGTGCTTTGTGTTCACTTCATTGAAGATGCTGTACAAGGCTCCTATGAGGAGCTTTTTTTCTTTTCATGTACCGAGTACAGTGCAGCAGTAGCTCGGGAATAGTTAGAAACAAGCTCCAGCCTCTGATTCCTGCAGTCAGAACTAAACACCATCATTATCAGCACCACTAACAAAGCAAGATTTGTGCTCAGTGTGCAGTATGATGAGGCAGACTACTGCCTGCGACCACATCTGGATAATTGTTTTTAATGTCTGAATGGCTACAAATGAGAGATTTTTTTTTGACTGATTTATACATTTAGCCGTTAAAAAATAATAAACAACATAATGAATATTTTCAACTGATTATTTACATAATCTCAGAGTCAAAATGATGGTCCAATTCTAGCACACAGACATTAACTGAACCACACCCTCTGCTCATACACGTGAAAAGAGAGTACACCTTAAAAGCAGAGACTAGAACCCCCAGTCACTTCATACACAGACACGAAAGCGTTGCATTGTTAACTGTGTTGTTAACCACAAACAGTTTTTATCAACCCAAGTGAGACTGCATTACATCAAACTATATGAATAAACTGCCAATGGTCCAAATGAGCTTTGTTATCCCCGAAGTCAGGGGGATAATGAATTTAAAATCTATCAAACATCAGCAGCAGCAGCAGCAGCAGCAGCAGCCTTTCCTGTACTTTAAGGACTGCATTAAACATCCACTCAAGCTCTCACATTATTACACCTGCACAGCCACCAGCAGATGGGAGGTGATAAAAATTCACAACATCTGCAAAAATACACAAAGAAGCCACATTTCACACAACACTGGAGAATATCAGCAATGAGAGGAGGATATACTCACCCCAGGCAGTTCATTGCTTTAGCTGTCAGCCATAGCTCAATAATCAGCTAAACGTCTGCACAAGTCTAAAAGCAGCAGTGAGCAGAATACTGGGCTCGTGCACTGCTCCTGAGCTGCTCCTCTGTGGGGGATAAAAGGTCTTCTGGGACCTCGGTGCGGCCAGGAGGCCGTCTTCGCCAAGTGTCAAGAAAAAAAATGGTCACCGCACAGAGAAAGCAGGGAAACAGTCTGAGCGGTATAATGAGAGGACAATCTATCAGTGCTAAACACAAACACCCCTTAAGAGAGAGGGAGAGTGAGGTAAGAGAGCTGGGAGACGGGCAAGGATGGAAGTCCACAGAGAGATGCTATTAATGCTGGTATCGGTCCTTGTAGCAGATAGGAGTGTCCCTCATTGCACAAATACCAACTCTCAGCTTTGGATTATTCGTGCCTAATTAAAGGCACTAAAAATCGTGTTGCCTATCTCAGCAGTGACCTCATACAAATGGAAACCCTTCTTACGGTATATTAATATCACAAAAGAGAGTTGAAAGTGGTGTAGTAGTACTGGAGGAAGGAAGCCAGCGTAGTAACAGAATAAAAGCTTCAATTGGCTGGACTTGTGGATGGAGAGGAATCTGTGGACAGACTGTCTGGGGATTTACTTTGGCACACAGACAGCCCATAACTAAAGAGTTGTTCACGTTTGGTTACCTGGCACAATTCTGTCTGGTAGAAAGCCACCTCCACGCATCTTCAAAAAAAAAAAAAAACCCGCGGGATGAAGCTAAAAATTTTATTTTAATTTTTTTTTTTGAAAGGGCTGCAGAGACAGAGAGAGCAGCATGGCTACCACTAGTTCCACGAAGTGAGTACTCTACTAAATCTGTGAGTGGCTCATCATCACAGGCACCTCCATGCAGTGAATACAGAACATTTTGCCAATCCTCGTTTTCCCCCCTAAAACTCTAAGCTCCCAGTTACAGACCCGTCCTTGTCAGTTTAGTCTCTCAATTTCTTTTTAAATGACAGTTTAAGAAACTTGGGAGGGTCACTGTGGATTTACCACGTGTTGCAGATGGAACCCACACATTTCTCTAATCTGCAACCAAATGTGCAGGAAAATCCAGTTTACAGTCATTATGATTTCAATCCATGCAGATTATTTTAGTTTTCACTAGGACCAAACACGTGCAAATCTCTGTGATGCAACACAAAGAGATGGTAACGTACTTTAGAGAGCATTTGACGTTTACCGCTCACTCACAAATTGCTTGCATTGTTTGCATCTTTTTGCATCTTCTCCAATGAAGACTCTAATCTACTTCCTACCTGTGCAATGTGAGCTCAAACCTCTGTCCCCTACCTGATGCTGGAGATGAGCTGTCGATGTTCGTCAGTGGTGAGTATGTCCGGCAGGACAGAAGCTAACCACTCAACTTTCTTCTCTGCGGCGTACTGCTTCAGCACAGCAAAGAGTCTCTCTTTCACTTCGGGATCGTCACCTAAAATCTGGTCGACCTGTTGGAGATTCAAAAGAGGGTAGCTTCTGGTAGAGAGGAGGGTAGTCAGTAAAAGAGGAAAAAGCTATGACCTCACTGTTTTTAGCATAGTACCAAACAGAAGTATTTATTTTTGTGTATATTTTATGCTGTAATTTTCATTTCTCTTGTTATCATTTAACCAAAAAGCAGCGTGTGAAAAACTAGTACACCCCATGATTCAGTAGCTTGTAGAACCACCTTTAGTAGCAATAACTTGAAGTAATCATGTACTGTATGGTTATCGTTGTGGCATTCATTCATGCACAGCTCTGTTAACTACAGCACTTTTCAGCCAGGAGTAAGGGAGATCATTGTTTTTTTGCATGACCCAGTTTGAGACAGGTTTTAGGTGCTGGACAGATGGCCTCACCTTTGACTCTAGAACACTTGTGCTATACAAAGTTCATGGTTGACTCAGTGATTGCAAAGTACGTAGGTTCTGTAGCTGCAAAACAGGCCCAAACCATTTACTGTCCATCACCGTGTTTTGCAGTTGGTATGTGGTGTTTGTACCAATATGTTGTGTTTGTGGCACTATACATTATGGCCAAACATCTCCACTTTGGTCTCTTCTGTCCAAAGCACATTTTTCCAGTAGTCTTATGGTTTGTTGCAGGAGTACTGACAGGGACAAGAAAGCAAGCCTTCAGCTTTCAGGCCAATCTTCTGTGGAACCAGCTCCAAGTTTGGATTCAGGAGACAGACACAGTCTCTGCTTTTAAGATTAGGTTTGAAACATAGTTAGACTTTGATCATAAACCCTCCTTTAGTTATACTGCAGTAAGCCTAGGCTACTGCAGGCTTCACTGAGTGTTTCTTCTTCACTCACCTTTTTCACTGACTCTGTGTTTATACACTTTTATACAAAGTGTTTATACACATTTAATTACTAGTTACTATGAAGTTCTGGCTCTTTTCCACAATGTGTCTTTTGTCCTGACTCCCTGGGGGATTTTCCTGTTAAATGGAAGTTTTTCCTTCCCACTGTCGCCAAGTGCTTGCTTATAGGGGAATCAGATTGTTGGAGTTTTCTCTGTATTATTGTGGGGTCTTTACCTTACAATGTAAAGCTTCTTGAGGCAACTGTTGTTGAGATTTGGCGCTATAAAACTAAAGTGAAATTGAATTCAAATGCAACTTTGCAAACTTAAACCATGCTGCCATGTTCTTTTTAGAGACGAGAGGTTTACTCCTGGCAACCCTTCCAAACAAGTCACATTTGTTCAGTCTTAAGTTTAAGATTTAACATGATAAGTGAACCCCGAAGAGTCTGAGATTCCTCTGAAATTCCTCTGAAATTTACTGAAATTTACTGGGATGTCCAATCCTGGGAACTGGCAACTGTCCTGAATGTTCTGTACTTTTGAACAATCTTTCTCGCTGTAGAATGATGTACTTCAAATCCACTGATTTTGGATTTTGGCTTTGTTTTTCTTAAACTAATAACAGCATGGTGTAATATTTTATGTGTTGCCTTTTTATTTTAAGTTATGTTTAAATAATTTGATAACCTGGTACAAACCAGAATAATATTTTCTTTGTGACCTGACACATAAAGCCTTCAAATTGAAAGAGGGTGTGTTTTCTTTTCCACATGACTGTAAACAGAACGTTGTTGAATTTTGAGTGATTTTATAGAGTTACTATCTGGCCTATCATAAGAAAGTGGATAACTATAGACTTTCATTCATTCTGGTCTCAAAAACATGTTGACATTCTACATTCGATTACATTAAATATTCATGAAATACGCACTAAAAACACATACAACTTAAAATTTAAAAAAAACAAACATTGTTACATGACATCCCCGACCTCATCTGAAGTGTGTACAATTGATTAGTATATATATAAAATGTTGGCAAGTATATAAAAGTAATCCTGTTTAACCCAAAGCTCCTATTCTGTTGAGCACCAGGCTTCTCTGATCTTTGACTGTATAAAGCACTCTGATGATACAAATTTCTTTATATGGTTATCTGCAGTAAGCACACAATATACAGACAGTACAGCTCAGAAGCACTGGGTGCTGCCCCTCATTTGGCTTCTGGAGGTTGGCCAATCATAAGAAAGACAGGTTTTAGTAAGGGAAGCCTTGAAAATAAAGGCGCTTGTTTCAGACACGGGACAAATTGAGGGACTGTAGGATAAATAAGGATTTTATTTTAACCATGAATCATGCAAAATTATTCCAGTAGAGAAACAGAAAAAATAAACAGCAACCATAATAGGTCCTTAAATTCATATAAGGTTTTGCAAAACTCTGCTTGGTGCACGGAAATACTTATTTCTTTTTTTGTCAAATAAGCCCTGCCCTCTCCAAAACAGTTGCATGGGAACAAAAAAAACAGCTTAGGCAGAGAATGTTGTCTTTAATTAGAAAATACCTTTTAACTCGAAACCTACCTTCCTGTTGAACTCCAGAGCCTTGTGTTTGCGGTCCAGTCTCGCCCCCTCTCCACCCATCTGACTGTCCTCTATGCTGATGCTCCGTTTGTGCCTTGGCCCAAGGCACAGCACTCCCAGGCGGAGTGTCCTCCCCTGGGATGCCTTGATTAGTGCCGCAGCCATCTCGTGCTGCCTGACTGGGATACCGTTCACTTCCATGACATAATCCCCAGCCCTCAGGCCTGCACGGCCAGCTGGAGAACAAGGAGAGCAGTCCTCCACCAGTAGGGGGCAGTCTCCCACAATGGTAAACCCAAAACGACCATCTGGACCTGGCGTGATGTCCATCTGTACGAGACATTTGCCTCAGTGTTTGACCACAACAGCTATCCACAATAGTGCAGATATACTGCTTACTATATTATGACATGCATTTCCACGCCCATTAACCTACACATGCACTATAGATCTGAAGGATTTGAGAGCTGCATGACCTGCTGTATGCGGGACACCACTCCAATGCTGGGAGGGATGTTCTTCTGAGTCTGGGCGATGGCGATGACAGCTTGAGGACCTAGCGTCGACACATTGTGGCCTTCGATCTCCAGGACCTGATCCCCCGCCTGCAACCCTGCCAGGTGGGCACTGCTGCCTTCCTCCACTGACAAGATGTAGCAAGGTCCAGCCCCACCAAGGTGGAAGCCAAAATCCTCAGGCCAGCCCTGGTTGGATGTCGGCATGCTGAGGACTTTTAGAAACAGGGAGAAAAAGACAGTGAGGTTGGCTTCAATATGGAGTCTCGTGGTACTTAGAAATACTTACCCACTGTAGCCAGTGGATTCAAGTTCAGCGACATCGCAAGAAAACTCTATGATACAGTCTTTTGTTTTAAAGAGATTCAGTTTGTTCTCTGTCTCCTTCCCTGTCTTTAGCTGTACATCAAGTGTGGCTCTGTAACCCTCTATGCTGAACCATGACACACTCAGCAGTCCCTGACCTGGTTCATAAACCCTTTCACAGCCAATCAAATTAAAGAATTGAAAGATTGTGACCTTAATTAGCTCAGGAGACAGAAGTTCCTCTTGCTATTTTTTGCACACAGAGCACATGCATCTCTCTTGTTGAACGGTAATTGAATGGAAAAGCAATAACATGACAGAGCACACCACTGGCTGCATGGATGAACAGGTAAGAGGTTGAATTCCAGGTTAAATAACAGGATTATTTCCAACTAAATGGGAAAATAGCAGGAAATATAAGGCTTTCAGAACCACCTCTAATGGAACAAGTATAAATTTCACAGCAATGAATTGCTATACACCCTGTAGCTCAGCTGTAGGCTAATGATGTGCTGCACAGCTTTCCAAAAGCCACAGCGCAGCAGAATTCACAGAGCTGACGAAGACGAAGGTTATAAAGACTTACAGAAATCTTTGGCTGGATACCGAGAGCCCCGTTTGCTCTGGCGGAAAGAGTATCTGCCCTTTTTGTTTTGCAAAAATTTCTTCATCTTGAATGTCAGATACCCGGTGGCCTGCTAGGAGGCTGTTATCCAGTCTTCTCAAGTATAGTGTTTTTTAAAAAAAATAGTATCCCCACAACCCAAAGTCAAAGAGAAAAGGTGACAAACTCAAAATACTGCCCCATTCCTCCTCCCTGAAACCACAGCAGTCTCCTCATGAGCAAAGGGTGAGTGTGCATGAAAAGCAAGTGCAGTCTCTTCCTGTGAGTATGTCAAGGAGTTGGTCCTGCATCTCATCCCTGATTCATCCTAGGGCCAGCCTGCTTGCACAGTGTTAATCAGAAAACTGGGACGCGTGCACCCGCGCACCTCGGTTCCTTAATAATTCTCTCTCCAAAAAGGGTATTGTAAGGCCTCATTTTTCTATAAATACACCCATGTGTCTTTTTTTCCTCCCCCTCCTCTCTTGGCAAGGTGGCTCTCCGTGGGACCGCTCCTGGCCCAGAATCGCTCTGCGTCGATGCGAGAAAGCCCGAGGAGCTCTAATTGGAGCGTCTGCATGCCTGTGATTCTCTGCGTACTCTGAAATGGTCGGTCCATTGATAAGGAGCGGGGGCAATTTAAGACTTTAGCCTGTGGGATTAGTGGGATTATCAGCTGAATCTGCTCTCCTCCACCCCCCTTGTTATTAATACTGTAGGAACACATGCTCCCCTCCCGTATTAGATATTTCGAGTGCCTCTAGTGAAGTTTATTTTAGCACTGTGCACACTTTTAGACGTGTATTTATGATGAAATAGGCTAAATGCTGCTCTAGTTCAATTCAATTCAATTGTATTTATATAGGGCCAGATCAGAGCTGAAAACTAAAACTTAAAACTGAAAATTTATGGCGTCAATGTGCTGATTAAAAATCAGCCCGGTGGATTTATCAGCACATATCAGCTATTTGCCCACATATCAATATCAACATCAAGAAGGAAAAACCCTTCAACCATGCTATGGGTGCTGATGTTGTGCTCTGCAACTTCCCTGTTGGCAACACACGTTTGTAAGACTGCAAACACAATGACCAGCTGATACCAGCAGAGTCGAGCAGAGCATGAAGATCTTGTTGTGACGGTAAAACATGACTATTTTTTAAACTGCAATGCTTTATCTTCTTAGTAAGGACTAATGAATGAATACACATAACAATTTCTAATCCATTTATGTATGTGCGTCTGAAAGAAAAAAACATATCGGCCAATATATCAGATTTTTTAAATCACCAAATGTTGGCATAGGTCTTAAAAATCCTATATCGTGCAGACTCTAAGCTGCACGTGTAACTATCTGCTTATATCCTTGAACTGAAGCTCACATCAAGTTTTACTTTTACAGTATTATGCGTATTTTTTTTTTAACTGACATGCATAACAGCTGGAGAGGAAGCTGAGGAAGTGCGCAGGTGGGCTTATTGGAGTGTAAACTGTCATTCGTGCCAAAGCGCACAATAAGGAACAAACAGTTCAGTGCAAACTGAATAATTAAACACAACTGACTGCATCTCCAAACACACTTTTCACTTCAATCAAACTCTCCTCTTACACTTACAGTCTTAAAGACGATTGAGTCGTCTATGACAAGATGCGTGACAGAAAAACTTTAAACCACCTGAAACAATTTATCTTTTGACAAAGAAAATTGTCGTTTCAGGTATAAAGCTGTAATTTTGATTTCAAACTGTAACAGCAGATACGCTCGTGGCACTGTAACTTGATTTATCCGACATAAGAGACAATAAAAAATGATTAAGGCCCCCAGCACAGCACATCCAAACATTCAGTACCTGTTTAAGCAGCATTCGGAGATGAGCCTGCACAGCTCCCGAGTAATGCTCCCCTCTGCAGCTCTGTGAGCTGTAATATGAGTGTTGGGCCATGTCCGCAACAGTATCCACTGACTGGTGTCCTGTGGTGCCTTGATGCATTGTGTGGAGGACTGGATTGCAGAGACAAACAGCAAACAGTTAATGATTTTATTCAGGCACCAAAGTCAAACACTATAGGCCTATATTAACCTCGATGGTGGGTATCAGTCTATAATCAAACCAGATGACAGTATCTGATATTTGTTGGTCATTGTCAGATCAATTTATGAACAAAATACATGTTCAAAGCTAATATGATGAAAGACATTTTTTCATGTCTCTGGCACAAAGGGTGGGATAAAAGCATCGCTCACAGCACTGTAACTTGATTTATCTTATATAACAGTCAATAAAAGATGATTAAAGCACCAGCACAGCGCATCCAGGCATTCAATAAACAAAAGGAAGTTAACTGTTGTTATACTGAAATTATATATTTAAAATTCTCCTTTTTGAAGTTTCTGTGCTAACTTTTAGACAAAACCTTTTATGCTTCAATGCATGTTTTGAAGTCCCAAAAAAGAGAGAGAGAAAGTATAAAATACTCTAATTACTCACGTGTATTTTGGACACAGGAAACAAAACATTACTGTTGATGCTATCTCACACTGGATTCCTCAGGTAGCAAAGCTCCAGACATCACCTCTCTCTTTCTTGAACTATAGAAACTGCAGGCAGAAATTCTCTCAATGAAATAGTGAATTAACCAGTAACACATTTAACAGTAAAATCAAGAGTAATGCATTTATAAAACATGGCCTCAAAACTTCCAGTTTATACACCGACCAGTCACTTCATTAAGTACACCTTGGACACCCGTTTGCCTTCAGGACTGCCTTCATTCTTTGTGGCACACATTCAATATTCCTCCCTTAACACAGCACATGATCCAGCTAGAAGCAGCCATCATAGAGATGTACATGGTTGGCAAAAATACTCAGGTGGGATGTGGAATTTAAATGATGCTCATTTGGTAAAGGGGCCTAAAGTGTGCCAAAAAAATGCCCCACACACCATTATACCAGCAGCAGCAGCAGCCTGAACCATTAACACAAAGCAGGATGAATCCCTGCTTCATGGTTTTTACTCCAAATTCTGACCTTGACAATTACATGTCAAAGCAGGCTCCGGGCAACATTTTTCCAGTCTTCTGTCCAAGTTTGGTGAGCCTGTGAGAATTCTAGCCTCAGTTTCTTGATCTTAGCTGAGATGGCACCTGGTGTGGTCGCTGCTGTAGCCCATTTTCTTCAAGTGTTGATGTGTTTTGAGTTTAGAGTAACTCTGTGATGAGTTATTTAAATTTTTATTGCCTTCCTGTTTGCTTTTTCTTTGACTTCTAGCATCAACAAGACATTTTCACCCAGAGAACTGACGCTCACCGGATATCGACTCTTTTTTGGTACCATCCTCTGGAAACCCTAAAGATGCTTGTGTGGGAAAATCACAGTCAACCAGCAGTTTCTGAAATACTTGGACCAGCCTGTCCAGCCCCAACAGCAATGCCACATTGATAGTCACTTAAATCACCTTTCATCCTTATTCTGATGCTCAGTTTAGTTAACTTCAACAGGTCGTCTTGGCTATGTCTGCATGGGTAAATGCACTAAGCTGCTGCCATAGGCTGATTTAACATCTGTTTTGACAATGTAGTAACCAGTGAGTGTATGTGGGTAGTGATGTGCATCATAGCTCTCTCTCTCTTTTTTAAAATAGAAGATGTTTAAGCAAACTTTAAAAATGTCTGAAGCCTGTTTTAGATATTGGGATGGGGATGTAAACTGTCGAAAAATAACAGGATTTTCAATAAAAGAAAGAGCTGGCTGAATGTAGTTGTCTTGCACGCCTCCTTGTATGGCTATTAATACACGTTTATAACAGGAGACAGGGACTTTTAACGCAATGTATACTTACAACATTTAAAATTAATAATCCACTATCTTAAAAAAACCCAAAAACAAAACAGACTGTTCATTTATTTCAGTGTAAAGTAAAAAGAAGTAGGACACATTTCCACTGTCCTCTCACAGCGGGGAGGCTTCGACGTTAGCCCAGCCCATCAGCGATGCTAAGGAAGTAGCATTGTTTACAGGGGCAGGACGTGAGCGTGGAGCAAAAGTGAATCTAGAAGCCTTCTAAACCGACTCTGTTGACTTGAGACAAACACCAAAAGGCAGCTATGTGTAACCTCGACTAGATGGTAAGGGGAGAGCGAGCATGAAAATGGGTTTACAAGGTGAAGAAAGGAAGACTTAGTTCAGTTTTGCTAACGCTGCTTGTGTGGGCGCTGAGAGGATTCAGCGGATGCTAACGTAACTTGTTCACCTGAGTCGTTTTTAAAGGTCTTTAACGCGTTTAAAGGAAGTAACTATGACTAAGAATTAACTGTAACAAAGCTTAATTGTTTCTTGTTAAGCTTTCTACCTCCTCTCGGTGAGTTTGTACCGTAAACACCTGTTGTTTGCCTCTCTGTGATGCTGCCAGGTGAGATATGGATTTCCTGACGCTGTTTGGTATTTACGTCGTGGTGGTGCTCACATGCATAGCTCTAGTGTGCAGATACTCCGGCCAGCAACACAGCCCCCTTAATTCACTCTACAGCTTTGCATTAAAGGTAAGAAAAGAGCAGAAACAGGATGAGTATGAAGCTTTTCTTTTCATGCAATTCCAAAGACCGACACTCTGTGGCGCTGTTGTCTCAATATAAAGAAAACCTATCCACTCCACTTACAACTATGTGCTTTTTTCACAGAGACTTGCATCGATTACTCCAAAATGGCTGCAGAAGTTTTCACAGTGGACTTTGCACAGACTCTTCCATCAGAGGTTTGTAGTTCTCTCTTAGCGTTTACAGAGTTTAATGTTTATTTAAGGCTTGATTCAGTGTTATTTGAATTTGACTGCAGGAGCAACGCGTTCATATACCTGCACATCCTGCTGGAGGGCGCCGTGTATGCAGAGTTCACTTACGAGGTGTTTGGCTTCTGTAGGGAGATGGACACCACTCTGATCAGCCTATCTGTGCCTTATATCCTGTTGGCCATCAAGACCTTCTTCTTCTACCTCTGCATCAAGACAGACCCAGGTTCATTTTAGTTTGACCACATCTTGTTTAAATGTGTGGTGGTGGTGTCAGCAATGGCAGTGTGTTATCTCACTTCTCTCCATCTGTCAGGCACAGTGACAAAGAAGAAAGTTGCCGGTCAGCTGCACATCTATTCGTACGACAGGAGATTGTTTCACCCGGGAATCTCATGTTCGACTTGCCAGCTTGTCAAACCAGCCCGCTCGAAACACTGTAGTGAGTGCTTTTTAATTTGTCAATGTCAGCACCTGAGGTACTGGGAGAAAAAGAAAGGTAGCGTGTCTCAGTGCTGACTGTAACTCCTCCTGTGATTCAGGGGTCTGCAACAGGTGTGTGCAGCGTTTCGACCACCACTGCGTCTGGGTGAACAACTGCATCGGTGCTCAGAACACACGTTACTTCCTGCTTTACCTCTTCAGCGTCTGTGCCATGGCGTGCGACATCGCCCTGTTAACGGTGGACATGCTGCTTCATGTCGTGCTGCGCACAGGGCTCCTGGGGGCCAGTTACTTAGATGAGAACGGCCAACGGCAGCCAGCGGGATTTCTGTTTGTCGTGCAGGTACTGCTGACACACTGAATATTGCACACAGCTGTTTTTGCTTCTAACTGGAATTGAATTTTAATCACCCGCCCCTCCTCCCACTTTTTTCTTCCAGCATCTCTTCCTTACTTTTCCCCGAATTGTCTTCATGCTGGGCTTCTTACTCTTTGTATTCTTCCTCCTGGCGGGTTACACCATGTTCCATTCCTTTCTTGCTGTTGTGAACCAGACCTCCAATGAGTGGTACAAAAGTCGAGGCTACGTTTGCCAGCACTGCCACCCATCTACAGCGGCCGATATTCTCTGTAGCCCCGTCCCAGATCACTCTAAAAGATACTACTACAGCAGGGGGGTCCTCCGAAATCTGGGGGAGATTTTCTTCCCTCCACGGCCTGTTCAGAAAAAAGACAATTGATTGGTTACATTTACTGTCTACGATAACTACTGTAAACACTACTGGAAAATAAAGTTTATTGGTTTCTTTATGGCCTCTGGTTTGTGAATTGCTGATTGTTTTAATTAACTGTTGCAGCTACAAGCTTACCAAATCAAACACTTAGAGGTAGCTTCTATGATTATGTTAAAGCACAAAGTAGCTGCTGCTTGTGGGATTAATGGGGATGTATTTACACAAATTATTTTGATGGCTGAGGAGGGTTTTTTTTTTTTAAATGTTATTACGTTTAACTTCTTATGACCAGTATGTTGGAGTAATGAAGTCACAATAATATAACATTGAAAAGAAAAATCTGACCCTACCTTGGAACTTCAGCTAAATGTAGGGAGCGTGTTTCCAGTCAACACTGAACAAAAAAAAAAATAGATAAAAATCAGCTATACATCCAGTGTTCTGATTTTTTTTTCTTAAACTTTATTAAAACCACGATACAAAGTAACAACAATTAAAAAAAATCAGAACATGGGTTAGAAAACAAATGTGTTTGCTGATTGAGTTATTCGCACAACAAATCATCATCATAAAGCACCTGTTCTTCTCATTTAAAAAAAAAAGAAGATTTTATTACTTTAATTTTATCAAAGCGGAAGTTTGATCGGACTTCTTAGTGTGTGGCTCCTGTCACTTTAAGCCGGTGCGGAAGTAGTCGCTGCATTGATGCAACACCCGGCGGTCAGAAGGTCAGGCTGCTTCTCCGGAGCTCCTCACACAGCACACCAAAACCGGTTGTTTTGACCGGTTATTAACGGTTAACAGTTACAGCTTGCATCTTTGACTCCTGACATAGCGCTACTACTTTACTCGAGTAAGTATCGTGACATTAGCGGCTTTTTTCCCCGGCGAGGAAAGCAACGTCCAGTAGCCGATAAAGCTTCCCGTTTTT